TTACTGGTTTCTTCAAATTAAAGAAGAAACAAATATCTACATATTTGACGAGAAAAACTTCGTCAATAAATACGAATAGAAAGATTGTGATTTGGATTCCAGTACAATGAACCAAATTTATTTCTCCTTTCTCGAAAAGTCTTTCTCAACTAACAAGCCAAGGCTCTAAACATATTATCAACAAAATTGAAATTTGGTTTCGTAACCAATCCAAAAGCTTTCTTATAAACAGTCAGACTCTTCTTCGAGGATGAAGAATTAGATCTTTGGAAACCGTGACGTATAAAGATTTTCTGAAGAAATTCACAAGAATAACAATGGTTAAACGAATTAAACGAGAAAGAACATTTGGTTTTAGCTTCTTTTTGAAGCTGACAAATTTGATACAATTTGTCATTAGTAACTCGAAGAAACATTGATAAATTAAATTCTTGAAAAATATCTCGAAATTCTATTCGTCGAGAATTTGTTGAAGGTAAATTAATTCATTGAAGAAGATTTTATCGTTCCCTTATCATCAATCACATGAAATTAAATAACGGAGTTTTACAAAAATTGCAACTGATATAAAATATTTGAGAAAAGCAATCGATGAGAAAAAATTTTAAAGAAAGATCAAAAAAGAAAGCCTGAGGGATGAACTTGATTTTGAATTCAAACAAATAACTTTTTTAAACAATTAGAAATCAATTTTTTTTTAAAAATTCGAGTTCCATCTTAAATTTTACTACTCTTGAAAAAGGAATCTCAATTTTTCCTCTACTTCTAAATAATTTATATTAATGTAAAAATTGGTTGAGATTTACATTCTGAAAATATTTACAAGAACAGATTGTTCTACAAAACTTCCATTTGAATATTTTGAAATTAGTTTATAAGTTTATTTTGTTAATTTTCAAATATTTGTCTTCTTCAACCGACAAGCCAAACGTCAGTTTAGTAATTGTTTAAAATAAAAATTGTAAGCTTAACAAATTAAATTAATAAAATATATTATTTTTATCAATTAGCCAAAATCAAAATCAGTTTAATTTATTTAAACATACTTTATAAAAAAATAAATCTTTAATTCCAAATCAGAATTTTACGGATTCAGACTGATAAGCTTTTAAAGGAAAAATTAAAAAAAATCGGAGATATAATCCGATTGAAAAAGATATAAAATTAGATTAACTGCAATAATATGCATGTAACTTTAAAATGGATTTTGTATACGAAACAAAGGAATCTATTCTTAGTGAACTATTCAACAAAAAAACCTTAAAACGAAAACATAATAAATTGAAGAAACAAAAAAAAATTACCAAGTACAAAGAACTTTACGAAAAATATAAAAAACTTTACACAAATGAGAAAAAACAAAATGGAGAATATATTTCTCTTTTGAATGATGCTTGTGACTATTTTGGGAAATCTTGGAGAGAGTTTCTTAATGATATTAAAGAAGCAAAACAATTTGACGATTATTCGAGATATCTTGTGAATGATATCTTGAAAGAAGATCAAGTCGATAACGAAATAAAAGAAGTTATCGACTTAACAAATGAAGGTTTCATCAACAAAGTTGGTGAGAAAGGAGAAGAAGATTTTGATTACTATTTTAAGCTCGATAAGAATAATACGGTTTTACTCGACGATTGTTTTATGCAGTATTTTGAACACAATCATATTATCGCTAATAATAATTTATTATCGGCGTAATTTGCATATTTTTTTTTGGGAAATTTTATTATTATCAGCCATATCAGTTGTATTTATATTAAATAAAGTAAATGTCACAGTTGATTTTGACTATAAAAAAATATCTAAAGTTTTTCAATCTTGCTCTCTATGATTTTATTCGTTTTGATTTTTATATATTTTTTAAAAAAATCTTTTCAAATCTTTTATTTTTATAAACAAAACCAAAATGTCTAACTACAACTCTGAATCTGTGAATCTGATGATGGTTTGAATTATTTACAACGAACCATCACTCAAGAGTACATCAACATAAACAACAAACTAAAGAAATTCGAAGATACAATTTCGTTTTATTAAAATTGCTTATTCTTTTATTCGTTTTATTTATAATAGTCATCAGTATTGGCGACTATTATATAATTTGTTTAAACAATTTAAACATGCAGCTTCTTCGCTCACAAGTTGAGGTCGAAGTTGCTAATAATCGATTTCTTGAACCAACATCGATTGTAAGTTCAATTTTATTTTGCGAATTTGATGTAATTATATTTATATTTTTTATTTTATTATTTAGATAAAAATAATTTATTTACAGCAAGAAAAAAACTAATAAGCTAAATATTTTCTGTT